TTATGTGTATCTCACAGCTAGAGATGAAGAAAGAGGGAAGAAAGCTGTGGAGGATTTAGAAAAAGAAGGTCTTCATCCCAAATTTCACCAGTTGGATATCACAAACCAAGAAAGTATTGATAATTTACAGAAGTATTTGAAAGATAAATATGGAGGACTGGATGTACTTGTCAACAATGCATCTATAGCATATAAGGTATAAAGATTTTGTTCTTCATCAAATACAGATATTGTAATGTACTGAGTTATCGTGCATGGGTGCGTGCCTGCCTGCTTGTGCGTGAGTGGTATCAACGTTGTGATGACTTTTTATTTAACTTTACACCTACCAAGTGACGACCCTCACTATTTTTATAATTTATATTAATATTTAATCTAATTTTAGTCAAGTTTGCGTAGCTTATAGTATTAATATTAATATAAATTGTACCATACCTAACCCCTTTACTAAACCAAAGCTTCACAAACATTTCTATGTTAAGTCACATGATAGTCAACCTGTATTGCAGAGATCCCTTGTCCGATTGTTTTTCAAATTTTACACCTAGCTAGTACTTTATCTGGAACATAAAAATGCCCTAAAATGAAATTTTTCTGGACAAATTGAGGCCAATTAAACTTGGTATGAAAGTTGTACATGTTGTGTGTCTGATGTCTGTCATAAATCCTGATTTGTGTGCTTTTTAATATTTAGTTTCAACACACAGGCTTAGTAATGCATGCCCTGATTGACTTGTGGTAATTTTATATGGTGTTATTCAACCAATGAGAGAATACCTTGTGAGAGTGGGCAGATTAACTCTTTTGAAAATTTTAATTTGTTGAGACACGGTGATAATGAAATTTCTTTTATAGTGCTTTTTGACCGAGCTGATTTTGTTTATATATACACTTTGTGTGATCTTACGCCCGATCATAAAATTATGTTCAACGGAGCCTTCTTTTAACATCCATTGGTAAATTTTCTAAAGATTTGGTATGATTATTGAACATTTTATGTTCAGATCTTTCTTATGTTCTTGAAGAATACACATATTATTTCAGACATTATGAGGATCATATCGGGTTTTGTATATCATGGCATAAATATACACATGCAAGTCAGTGTGCCATTCAATAAAAACGTGCTGCTGGTAACATTATGCTTTTTAAATGCACCACAATCTGTTATTTTGGAATGTATGGAATCAGATTTCATACATGTAAAATCTCATTTTCAAACTCATTGAAGGAATGTGCCATACACGGCTTGTCTTGAAAATTACCCCCCCCCCTTTTCAAGTCAATGTCCCTATACTGGTCAGGAGAGCAATTTATTGTAATACCGTAACGGGTACATTCTTGGTATTGTCATTTATTGTTAGGCATTACCTCAAATATAATCACAAATATTGTGTATCTGTAAGTATAGAGTTTTTTTCTCTCCAGGAAAAGGATGTTGCTCCTTTTGCTGAACAAGCTAAGGTTTCAGTGGCTTGTAACTTCACAGGAACATTAGATGTATGTAAAGCTTTATTACCACTGATCAAATCACAAGGCAGGTAAGGGTTATTGGTACACCTTTGACAGAGTTAATTATAGCTTTTATACAGTGTACGCTCATGTAAAAATAATTGATCATAATATTATAGTTTTAAAAAGCAGTGAGGACATATTTTTCTGAACTGAAATTTGACAGAGTAGTAATTTCATTGCACGCTCATGTAATGGAATACGTGGCAATAAACTTGACAATTTGAATTATTTAACATTATATAGTTCAAATAAATATAATTGGTCTCATTCATGACATGTCATAGAGCAGTGGAGCCCAGGTTTGGATAAATATAGACTATGGCCCGAAACTACTTGGAACCAATTTGTATGTGATTATAGTAAACTAGCCCATGTAACAGAGTGGCGTTCTGATCTGCATTAATACACCCCTTTTCACCAATTTTAATTACATCTATTGGAAATGTAGATCATTCCAATAGTTTGCAAAGATATCTTGCACCATACAAACTCTCATAACAATTAACAATCAATTGATAGAAGTGCTTGGGAAGAAGTGTTGATAATCTTTGAGCGTCGTTTGTAAAATTAATTAAATGTTCACTCATTTTTGTATTCTAACATATTAGTATGCTTTTATTTAACTGTGTAAAAAATTAATATATGAGTTATAATAACAAAACGATGCAATATTATTCCTTTTTTACCAATACTTGTTGGATAACGTATATAATGATCGTCTCATAATGTAATTAACAAAATACCCGAACTCTACCTAAGTAATTACACTGCTCACAGATGGAATACTCTGGGATGATTAAATAATGTGATGTGTTTACGTAATGCGAAAGGCATTTAAGTGAGTTCTAACAGGCCTAAAGGGAATGAATGTGATATGCCGCTACGTGGTCGTAAGTTTGAATCTCACGTGTCGCGTGTTTATATGTTCGTGATGTGCATGTAGTTCATACTACACACAGATACTGGAAATTGTTGTATACTGATACGTTATTGTTTAGAGTACAAGAGTATAGTAATGTAGGTTAATAGTACAGCTGCAGCTATTCGACGAAATGTTTCAATGTATGATTTAATCATTAAGATGACATAATATGTTTTTGTTTTACTATAATTGTATGTTACAGAATTGTTCATGTTTCAAGTGATTCTGGAATATGGGCTATGGATGGGATGAGTCCAGACCGTGCTAGTAAATTCAAGTCACCAACTCTCACAGAAACTGAGCTTGTGTCTCTACTTGAAGATTTTGTGAAGTAAGTTAACATATAAATTATAATATCATATTACCAGTTTCTGTCACAGTGTATCATTGCAAAATCTGATCACATACATCATATGCACTTGTACATATTTACTGATATGACACCATTTTATATTGAAGTGCTGCCAGCGATGGGACTCACACGAAGAAGGGTTATCCTAACGCAGCATATGGTACATCTAAAGCTGGTGTAATTGTATTGACTGGAATCCAAGCACGTGATTTGAAAGGTGACCCACGAGAAGACATCCTTGTTAATACAGTGAGTTACCAATAAATCGTTCTCCTTCATTTAAGAAGAGAAACTTAGCATCAGTTAATTTATCACACAATTTGCATGGAAATTGCTGCGAGATCCTACGAGTAAAGTAAAATGTTTATAATTAAATGGTTCCGGTTTCATTATTTTCCTTTCAATTATGAATATTGGCACTGTATCAAGACCAAGATTCATTTCTACAGTTTGTTCATTGTTGTAAATTAAATATTAATAATGCTGACTAATTAAAATTCAGACTAAAAAACAGATATTTTATATTTCAGTGTTGTCCTGGCTATGTGGACACTGATATGTCAAGCCACCAAGGAACAAAGACTCCTGATGAAGGAGCAGAGACTCCTGTCTATCTTGCTTTACTACCACCAAATGTCGGTCAACCACAAGGAGAAATGTTGTCAGACAAGAAAATTGTAAAATGGAGATGAATACTGAATATATCTAGTTCATTCATCATATAGCAACATTCACATACAACACCATGCCATTGGGACAAATTGGAAAACTTAGCCATTGTAAATAATATTGAAATGTTCGATGTCAACATATCCATTCTTCTCGTTTTAATTTTACTTACAAAGTATGCAGCGTTAACATCGTAATAATAAAACGTGTTATGTAATGACTGACCATAAAGGCTGTTTGTGATAAATTATTTCGCTAATCCTGAGTTCAATTTTAAAGTTCAAGAAATAGGTATAAAGTTATCATTCGATTTCTTTTTGAATCAATTTGAAAGTACAATTTACTTTACATCAAACCATTTTTGTCATATATATCAGTCGGGTATTATTTCAATTATATACCCACTATTCAAACTGAGAGCTAGTAATGATGTACGTACATATGGACGTTGACAGTAAATATTCACCTGCTTTGTTTCAAAAGCAATGTTGATTGAAATAACTTGTATGTATCACTTTCAAAAAATCATATTTTACTCCAGTAAGCCCCAAGGCTTACCATACATTATTGTATGCAGTTACTAGATAAATCAATATAATATTGAAGGGAATAATAATAATAATAATAATAATAATTGTGAATTACTGTTTTATTACAAATTAGCGTTAGTGTTAGTGTTAGGGGAAGACATGGAAAACTGCATGTAAGTTGACAATCTTTATATTTTATTTCGATGCCGTACCTACACCTGCTCCCTAAATCTAAGACACGTAATTCAAAATGATTAAAAAGTAACTTGCCATGACGTCAAACTTTGTTTACGCACGCGCAACAAAATGTTCATCCATGATGAACTCGGTAATTCATCAATAAATGTTTCGGTGTGTACAATGTGTGTCACGAAAACTAGATTACCACGGACCCCTATTCTACACCAACGCCAAATAATAATATCACGGGATCACAGTCTTATAATCTTTGTAATAATACACTTATAAAAGGGTTTGTCATCGACTTGCTGTTCTATTCAAACTATACCAAAACCGTATTTGAGAAATACATTTAAATAGCATGTAACATATAATGTTTGTTTACAAAATATTTCAACACGCGTTGCATGGCAACTATATCGCTTTACTCGATAAATGTAAAAAAACAAATACGTATGATGCCTAAATTTATGTTTTGAAATTCAATCATTTTCGACATTATTCATGTTTAACCCTGTTTCATTAGATTGCCTTAATGAGATGCGTTGTGATAATTTGTTTTTAGCAACATCAAAAAATTGTTTTTCTCCTTTCAATGGTATAGTTATGGTGGATCTATTATAACTAGAATATATTATTCTTTCTAACCATCGTTCTATGACTACTGTGATTGGACTAGTCAAGTTATGGTCACGTAATAATTATGGTTTGTAACTATTAAATGATCATGATTTAACTAAACTGCACCACGACTAGCATTACGACTGTCACGGTTCCCACCCTACAAAAATAATGGCACATCCCTAACAATAAGGTATACGCCACCAAGCGTTGAACCTATGAGGGTCAAACAATCACCTGGCATTTCGCTGGACGGACCGTCGTTTATTACATGAGCCGTAATTATCACAGCAATTGGAATTACGCTAGGATATCAAGTGAAATAATATCTACAACCAAAAATGCCGTCACGCGTTGCTGTGGTAAGTGTTTGTAAAATTTGTGGTCTTCAAAGTTTGCCTCCGTCCCGAAAACCTAGTCATATGGTCTTTAAGTTGCTGCAGTTTATACAGCTCTCTTGGTCGTGGTATACGTAATATCAAAATAGCTTAAGCGGCCAATAAGAGCTGCTAAACTGCAGCAAGGTGTTAAAGGTGTTACACTCTGATAACACACACACTGGGACACGAGCGGTTCAAAGATTTGTTCTGTCTTTACCGTTTTTATATAACTCTTAGATGCAAGGCTTTTGGGTAATGTACGTTATGTTCACAGTAGCCTTAGATTTTCTTCAACACGAATTGTTTCCAGGCTCTCCCAGGCACGGG